GCGCGGAGTGGACGCGGAATGGCGCGGAATGGACGCGGAATGCCGCGGAATGGACGCGGAATGGCGCGGAGTGGACGCGGAATGGCGCGGAGTGGACGCGGAATGGACGGGACATGAAGTATCTTAGGGCGTAGCTGTTGCTGGCTCGCCTGAAGTGAAGGCGGGGCATAGGAGTTGGAGAGCGGTGGACGGAGCGTGGTACATGCCAGGGGGTGCTTGTGGGGGGCAGTGAAGTCTTGTAGGGATTCGCCGCGCAGAGGCAATAGTCGTCTGTTTCCTTGCCTTTACCATTCGTCTCCTTCCTCCTGCTTCTAATTCTCCCTTGTTGCTCCGTTTCTGTGTGCGTGTCTCTCTTCCCATGCGTGTGTGTACCTTACGGCTTGCGAGAGGGAAGGGGCTGCAACGGCACATTGGCAAGTCAAAGGCAGAGACACGGTGGCGGTCGTGACGAGCAACCAGGAGCAGCACGCCTCATGTGAAAGCGGGGTGCAGGAGGAGCAGAGTGGCGGGCTGAGTGTGGTACGTGCCAGGGGGTGCTTGCAGGGGGGCATCAAAGAGAGTCGTAGGGCGTCGCCGCGCAGAGGCAAGAGTCACGTCTGTTGAATTTCCTCTGCCACTCGCCTCCTGCTGCTTCTGACCCTCCCTCGCGCTGCTTCTGTTTGTGTCCCTCTCCCTGTGCATGTGTGGCCTCACGACCCGTAAGACGGACGCAAATGGCAGCGAGTGGACGGGAAATGGTCACGAATGGGCGGGGCTGCCGTTGCTTGATCGCACTAGGAGCAGCACGCGTAACGTGAAAGGATGGCGAGCGGCAAACGGAGCGTGGTGCGTGCCAGGGAGTGCTTGCAGGGGGGGGATGAAGAGAGTCGTAGGGCGTCGCCACGCAGAGGCAACAGTCAAGTCTGTTGGCGTTGCCTCCACCATTCACCTCCTGCTGCTTCTAACCCTCCCTTGTTGCATCGCTTCTATCTGCGTGCGTGTCTCCCTTTGCGTGTGTGTGCCTCACGGACTGTGAGACGGGGAATGGCAGGCACTGGTGGAGGCACAGCAGCAGCATTGCAGCGCTGGTCACGTGTAGCAGCACGCCAGAAGCCTGACGCTCCGGCAGCAGCGGGGAATTGCTTGGGGGTGAAGGCGTGGCGAAGGAGCGGCAGGCTCTACCAAGGAGGAGAAAACACATAGCTGGAGCGTGGTACGTGCCAGGGGGTGCTTGGTGGGGGGACAATGAAGAGAGTCGTAGGGTGTCGCCGCGCAGAGGCAAGAGTCGTGTCTGTTTACGTCCACCATTCGCCTCCTCTCCTGCTGCGCCTAACCCTCCCCTTGTTTCTCTGTTTCTGTCTGTGTGTGTGTCTCTCCCCTCGCGTGTGCGTGCTTCACGGCCTGTGAGACGGAGGGGAAGGACAGCCAGTGGACGGGGGGTGACAAGCTTGCGGGCTCCGTTCCTGCACTGGTACGAAGACACAACAGCAGCGCTGGTGAGTCTTAGCAGCAGTAGCAACGGCGCTTGTTTCTTCAGCCAAGTCTTTTCTCCTCCAAACGCTTTGCCTTTTGTGATGCCAAGCGCTCATTGCTTGTATTGCATGTGCTTCACCGCTTTCTCCTTGAAATCTCGCCACTGGTTGGCTTTGGCTCAACTCAGAAGCCACAGACCCCTCCTGTTGCAGGTATCAACAGCACACCACGAGCATCCTGGAGCAGAACTCTTGGAGCCTGGAGCACGGGCCACAGCAGGGTGCTGCTTGGGCTGAAGGAACTTGCATATTTTGCCAAGTCGGGGAAAGCATTAAGCTGGAGCATGGTACGTGCCAGGGAGTGCTTGCAGGGGGGCCGTAAATTGAGTCGTAGGGTGTCGCCGCGCAGAGGCAAGTGTCATGTCTGTTGCCCTTGTTTCCGCCACTCGCCTCCTGCTGCTTCTGACCATCACGTGTTGCACCTGTGTGTGTGTGTGTGCGTGTCCCTCTCCCCGTGCGTGTGTGTGCCTCATGGCCTGCGAGGCGGATGAGAATGGCAGCAAGTGGATGGGGAATCAACACCGGTGCCGTTGCTGGCACGCATGAGAGACAACAGTCCTGCCAGGAGAAAGGGGAGAAAGGGGAGCAACCTGGAGCAGCACGCCTGAAGTGAAGGCATGGTGCAGGAGTGGTACGTGCCAGGGGGTGCTTGCAGGGGGGCTGTGAAGTGTCGCCGCGCAGAGGCAAGTGTCATGTCTGTTGCCCTTGTTTTCTCTTCTCGCCTCCTGTCCTGCTGCTTCTAACCCTCCCTTGTTCCACTGTTTCTGTGTGCGTCTCTCCCCATGCGTGTGTGTGCCTCACAGCCTGTGAGACGGGGAAGGGTAGGGAGTGGACGGCTGGTGACAAATGTGCGGGTCTTTGTTCCAGGCCAAGACACAACAGTAACGTTGGTGAATGCAGCAGCGCTGGTGACTTGAAGCAGCAGTAGCAAGAGCGCCTTGACTTTTCAGCCAGGTATTTTCTCCTCCAAACGCGCTTCGCATTTGTGATGCCAAGCGCTTATCGCCTGTCGTGCATGTGCTTCATTCTTTCTCATTTGAAACCTCGCAACTGGTTTGTTTTTGCCCAACTCACAAGCCACAGTCCCTTCCTATTGCAGGTATCAGCAGCAGACAACGCGCAACCTGGAGCAGCACGCCTGACAGCTGGAGCACGGGCAGCAGCAGGTGCTTCTTGGGTCGAATGCGTCGTGCAGGAGTGGCAGGCTCTGCTAAGGAGGAGAAGGGGTACGTGCCAGGGGGTGCCTGCAGGGAGTCGGGAAGTCAGTCGTAGAGTGTCGCCGCGCAGAGGCAAGAGTCGTGTCTGTTGCCTTTGCCTCCACACTCCACCATTCTCCTGCTGCTCCCAACCCTCCCTCGTTGTGCTGCTTCTGTGTGTGTCTCTCTCTCCCCATGCGTGTGTTGTCTCATGTCCTGCAAGACGGACGGGGAGGCAGCGAGTGGACGGGGAGGCAGCGAGTGGATGGGGAGGCAGCGAGTGGATGGGGATCACCAGTGGCTGCAGCGACTGCAGGATGATGGCGAGCACACAAGAGGTTGTAAGTGAATCAGGTCAATCAGTTCGCCACTTCACTTTTCACTTATTACTTTTCGCGTTTCAATTCTCGCCATGTTCCTGCTTTCTGTTTTCCGTTCTCTCTTGTCTACCATTTTTCCACGGTGCCATGAGTCTTTGCAGCGGTGCTGTCAGATGATCATGCCACTCGACTCAGCTCCCTAACCTCTCCTCGCCTGTCCTCTCCTCCTCCCTGCAGCGACCGGTGGTTGCGACGGCAGCAACGAATGCAGAGGCAGAAGCAACGGAGCAACCGGGAGCACAGGCAGCGGCAGGGCGCTGCTTGGAGCGAAGGCTTGGCGAGCAGCAACAGAGCAGCCTGGAGTAGCACGATGGAAGAGAAGGCGTGGTGCAGGCAGAGCGGCAGGGTGGCAAACGGAGCATGGTACGTGCCAGGGGGTGCTTGCAGGGGGGCCGTGAAGTGAGTCGTAGGGTGTCGCCGCGCAGAGGCAAGAGTCGTGTCTGTTGTTCTTTTCTTTGCCACTCGCCTCCTCTCCTGCTGCTCCTAACCCTCCCTTGTTGCGCCGCTTCTGTGTGCGTATTTTCCCTCCCCATGCATGTGTGTGCCTTACGTCCTGCGAGACGGACGGGAATGGCAGCGAGTGGACGGGGACTGCCCAGCCCATGTGCGTGTGGGGGGAAGGGGGATGGGAGTGTGCATGTGTGTGTGTGCGTGTGTGCATGCCTGTGAGTGTTCCTCTCAGCCTTCAAGCTCTGGAGTGTGGCGGATTGCTCTTTGTGAACCTGCCGGCCCATCGGTGGGACCAACAAGATTCCATCTCTTCCAAGACAAGAGGTAACTTGGACTGAAGTGAACATGCAGCAGAAGGGCGAATGCGCCACGCATATGCACTTCACATTTCACCATGTTCCTGCATTCTGTGTTCCGGCTCTCTTGTTTACCTCTTTCCATGGTGCTCATGAGTCTTTGCAGCTGTGCTGCCATATGGTCAAGCCACTCTTCTCAACTCCCTAACCCTTCCTCTCCTCTCGTCTCCTCTTCTTTGCAGCGGCGCGATGGTGGTCATGACGAGAGCAACAACTCTAGCAGCACAAGGGGACGCCGAGCAACCTGGATTATGTACAGCAGCTTGGGGAGAAGGCTTGGCGCAGCAGCAAGGGAGCAACATGGAGCAGCACGCAGGCGTGGTGCAGGAGCGGCCGAGTGGCACAGCGGCAGACGGAGCGTGGTACGTGCCAGGGAGTGCTTGCAGGGGGGAGTGAAGAGAGTCAGTCGTAGGGCGTCGCCGCGCAGAGGCAAAAGTCGTGTCTGATGTGTGCGGTTCCACCGCTCGCCACCTGCTGCTTCTAACCCTCCTTTGTTGGTGCTGCTTCTGTGTGTGTGCCTCTCTCTACCCATGTGTGTGTGTGCCTCTCTCTCCCGTGTGTGTGTGTGCCTCGTGGCCTGCGAGACGGAGACCAGCGGCAGCAGGAGTGGGAGAGTGAAGGCATGGCGCAGGAGTGGGAGTGTGACGGGCGGAGCGTGGTACGTGCCAGGGGGTGCTTGCTGGGGGGCCGTGTAATGAGTCCTAGAGCGTCGCCGCGCAGAGGCATGAGTCGTGTCTGTTGTCCTTGCCTCCATCACTCGCCTCCTCTTGCTGCTTCTAACCCTCCCTTGTTTCTCTGCTTCTGTCTGCTTGTGCCTCTTCCCTCGCGTGTGTGTGCTTTACGGCTTACGAGGCGGAGGGGAATGGCAGGGAGTGGACAGGGGGAGACCGACTTGTGGGCTTCGTTGCTACCTGAGACACAGCCGCAGTACTGGTCAGTTGTACCAGCAGTAGCAACGTCTTGCCTTTTCAGCCAAGAATTATTTTCTCCGAACGATTCTTCCTTTGTGGTGCCAAGCTCTCATCACTTTCACTGCTTTCTCTACTGAAATCTTGCCACTGGTTGGTTTTGGCTCAACTCAGAAGTCACAGACCCCTCCTGTTGCAGGTATCACCAGCACACCACGAGCAACCTGGAGCAGCATCCCTGGAGGCTGGAGCACGGGCCGCAGCAGGGTGCTGCTTGGGGCGAACACATGTTGAACGCATGTTGAAGGAGCCGCAGGTTCTGCCAAGGAGGAGGAAGCACTTAGCTGGATTGCGGTACGTGCCAGGGTTTGCTTGCTGGGTTTCAACTTCAGCAATGGACATGCGATTACAACTTCCCCAAGTGCTTCCGGGTTCCCTCTATGTGTTGGTTGCTTGATATTGGTTGTTCTCTTGTCTAGGCTTTGATTGCCTCCCTTCATCAAGTTCTTATTTGCTCGTTGTCTCCTCTCTCCCTCTCCTCTACATATCGCATTGCTGACCCTGGCTACAACTGCAGGGGAAGCAGTGGCACCAACAGCACTGCTGCTTATTCCACATGGTAGGTGTGATGGGAGATTTTGGGGGGAAGGTTGCTGGCCTTGCTAACATACATTTTTCACTTGATGCCTTTCTTCACTTTCACTTACGGTAATACATTCTTGATGCAAGTGGCTCTTGTGGTGATGTGCAGGGCCATGTAGAGGACATGAAGGTCGAGGCTGTATGGTGGTCAACCACCAAGAGCTCAACATGGGCTGCTGCTGTGCTTAGCCGTGCTAGTTGCGCTTCACGGGGCTTAGCCTTGTCTAGCTGTGTTCAGATGTAGGTAACTGTGTTGTGCTGTGCTGGGATGGGTCTGCATGTTGTAGAATAGGTGGGTGGGGTTTGGAATGCGCCTGGGCACAAACACCCAAGCAGGCCAGAGTGTCATCCTGCAGGTGCTGTGCCGTGCAGCGGCAGGACTTGGCTGCTGCAAGCCAAGCCCTCGTTCAAGGCCCTGAGTGAGTGTGGTGGAGCGGACACGAGAGGTATGCACCGTGATGGGAAGGTGGAACTGCAGGGCACCCACCCACATGCAGCATGCAGCCTGCACACACATTGGTGAGGAAAGGAACAACCAGCCCACCAGCCAAACATCCAGCCAAAACAACCATCTAGCCAAGTATGCAGCTAAACAGCCTACCGGTACCAACCAACCAGCCAACCACTACTTTCCAACAGGAAATGATGAACCTGTCGTGCAAACAAGAAACCCTATATATCCCTGCCTCATAATTGCAAGCAGTCACGGCACGGCACCTCACCGACTAGGACCCACTGAATTGTCTTTTGGAATTAATGCACTGTCTAGGGCCTGATGCTCCTAGTGTCAAATGATATATATGTGTGATACATATTGGTAGGCTGTAGTGGGGTAGATGTTATAGGGGATAATTCCTTAGGGTTGTGTTACTTGTAAAATTTCTCTCGATAGTCAACTTCACCTTGCCTAGCTATCTCAACATGGTATCAGAGCAATGGTCCTAAGGACCTAAGATTGGGGCCCACCTACTCATGAGTTACTTTCCCTACAGCTATACCTACGTGCCTACCTTGCCTGCTGCCCGCGCGCGCCTCGGCTGCATGCGCGCGTGCATTTTTTTTTTTTAGCGCGCCCCGCTGCCTTAGCCGCCCGCGTGCTCGCTGCTGTCACGCGCAGCTCGGCGCCGCGCGCAGCCCGCCGCCACGCGCGACCCGCCGCCGCGTGCAGCCAGTAGCCACGCGCAGCCCGCAGCCGCACGCAGCCCGTCGCCGCGCGCAGCCCGCAGCCGCACGCAGCCCGTCGCCGCGCACAGCCAGCTGCCACGCACAGCCCGCAGCCGCGCGCAGCCCGCTGCCGCGCGCAGCCCGCAGCAGCGCGTGCCCTGCCCTGCCTGTGCGCCACTGCCTCGACCTGAGCGCTTAGCCGCCCGTGAGTCGTGCGCTTACCTGCCTTACGCGCGGCCTGTCACAGAACTGCGTGCTTCCTTACCTGCTACAGTTGCCTGCTGCCTGAGCCTGCTGCCTGAACCTGCAGTCTTTGCCTGCTGCCTGAGCCTGCTGCCTGAGCCTGCTGCCTGAGCCTGCTACCTGAGCCTGCTGCCTGAGCCTGCTGCCTGAGCCTGCTGCCTGAGCCTGCTGCCTGAGCCTGCTGCCTGAGCCTGCTGCCTGAGCCTGCTACCTGAGCCTGCTGCCTGAGCCTGCTGCCTGAGCCTGCTACTTTTGCCTGCGCTACAACCATGGCGACCCTTACTGTTCTCGCCTTTGAGCCTGACGGCCGCCCCATCGAGTTTGACACCTGGCTTAGTGACCTGCGCCTTTATCTTATGACTGACGTCGCAGACGGAGTGTCACTGCTAGCCTATGTGACCGGCACTGTCCCTACTCCTGCTGAGACTGCTCCTGCCCCTGAACGAGCACAGTGGGAGCTCCGCGATGCTGTCGCGCGCCTTGTTATTCGCAATCACCTACCGATCTCTGAGCGCGCGCATTTCAACCAGCTTAAGACTGCTAAGACGCTGTATGATGCTGTCGTTGCCCGCTATTCCGCCCCGACCACAGCCACCGTTGGTAGTCTCATCCTGCCTTACCTGTTCCCAGACTTAGCCTCGTTTCACACTGCTGCCGACCTTATCACTCACCTCCGCGCTAGTGACGCCCGCTTTCGAGCCGCTCTTACCAACGAGTTCCTCGCCACGAACACCCCCCCGCTGTACTTCACCCTCTACATCCTCGTCACCCGCCTCCCTGACACTCTTCGCTCTGTCAGGGATTACTTCCTTGCCAAGGATCCTCCAACTATCACTCTGGACGACTTCGAGCAGCAGCTGGTCGCAGCAGAGAAGAACATCCTCGCTGTCGGTGCTGCTCGTGGCACTCCCCGCACTCCCCTCTTTGAGGGGTGCTCCCCCTCCCCTCTTGACCCCTCCTACGCCTCTGCTGCTACTGCTGTCGACTTCCTCGGTGCGGAGAAGGTCGCAGCGGCTTCCGCTCCTGGTGGGAAGCGTGGTGGTGGCAGGGGCGGCAAGGGTGGCAGGGGTGGCGGAGGTGGCGGTGGAGGGAGCGGTGGTGGAGGCGGCGGGGGTGGTGGAGGTGGTGGGGGTGGCCGTGGGGGTGGAGGCGGTGGGTGGGGTGGCGGCAGGACCGGGGGCGGTGGAGGCGGCGGCGGCGGTGGTGGGGGAGGAGGCAGCGGCAGTGGCGGTGGAGGTGGGAGTGGGGGTGGATCTGGCCAGAAGGGTGGCCAGCAGCAGCAGCAGCAGCAACAGCCACAGCAGCAGCAGCAGCTTCCTCCCCTCACCTCCCAGCAGCTCAATGACTGGTATGCTGGGCGTGGGGCGTCTCGGGGTTCTGACCGCTGCCCCTATGTCATTCGTACTGGCCCCCGCAAGGGTCGCCCCTGCAACGGTTTTCACACTGAGTATCGTTGTTTTGCTAGGCTTAGTGACGCCTGGCGTACTAAGTATCCTGATGCTACTGAGTTCCCCAACTGGGCAGAGCTGCTTAGGCGTGATGTGCCTATCTTTGATCTGGACTATGATGTTATTCTTGCTGCCATGTATGCATTGACTGTTAGTGCTGAGGGTGACTGCTACTTGTGTGTGCCGCCTGACCCCGGTATAAGGACTGCAGCCCTAGGTGCTAGTGAGTCTGCTCCCCTTGGTACTGAGTCGGCTCAGGCCTTGCACACGTTTACACTTGACTCTGGTGCTTCCCGCTGTTTCTTTCGCGATAGCACCACCGTCACTCCGCTCCCTGCACCTGTCCCTGTCTCCCTGGCTGACCCCTCTGGGGGCCCAGTGCTTGCACGCGGCACGACTGTGCTCCCGTGCCCGGCGGTCCCGTCTGGTGAGCTGTCAGGTCTCCTCGTTCCCTCGTTCTCTACGAACCTGGTGAGCAACGCCGTCCTCCAGGATCACTGGGTTGACACCTGGACTCCTGGAGGGCAGCGTGTGGCGATCTGCACGTGCTCCAAGACTGGCCGCCACCTGGCCACGTTCACTCGTGAGCCGGGGTCCAGTCTGTACACCCTCACCACTGTTTCACGCTCCGCTCCTTTGTCTCCGCAGCTGTACGCGTCTGCTCAGGTAGCTACCCAGTGTGAGTGCCGCCGCCTGTCGCACGACACGCTCCTGTGGCACCACCGCCTTGGTCACCCCTCCCTGCCTCGCCTTCGTAGCATGCACTCTCGCTCTCTGGTCTCTGGGCTTCCCAGGTCTCTGCCTGCCCTACCTCCCTCGCCTGCGCCGCCCTGCATTCCCTGCGTCGAGGGGCGGCAGCGCGCCGCTCCTCACTCCTCCTCGTTTCCTCCCACAGAGGCTCCCCTGCAGACGCTTCACCTGGACGTGTGGGGCCCAGCCCGCGTCCAGGGACAGGGCCGTGAGCGGTACTTTCTGCTGGTTGTCGACGACTACACACGTTACACCACGGTCTTCCCCTTGCGCAGCAAGGGAGACGTCCCTGCTGTTTTGATCCCCTGGATCCGCGCTGTGCGTCTCCAGCTCCGCGAGCGGTTCGAGCGGGACTTTCCTGTCCTGCGTCTGCACTCTGACAGAGGTGGTGAGTTCTCCTCTGACCTCTTGGCAGCCTTCTATGCGGAGCACGGCATCACCCAGTCGTTCACGCTTCCGGCCTCTCCGCAGCAGAATGGGGTTGCTGAGCGCCGCATTGGCTTAGTCATGGAGGTCGCTCGTACCTCCATGATCCATGTGGCGGCTCCCCATTTTCTGTGGCCGTTCGCGGTCCGGTACGCCGCGCATCAGCTCAACCTCTGGCCCCGTGTCTCCTTGCCGGAGACCTCGCCCACACTGCTGTGGACGGGGGAGGTTGGCGATGCGTCGCGTTTCCGGGTCTGGGGTGCTCGTGCCTTTGTCCGCGATCTCACCGCGGACGAGCTCTTTGCTCGCGCCATTCCCTGCGTCTTCCTTGGTTTTCCTCCTGACGCGCCTGGCTGGCAGTTTTACGACCCCACCTCGCGCCGTGTCTTTGCGTCTCAGGACGTCACCTTTGACGAGTCTGTTCCCTTCTACCGTCTCTTTCCCTACCGCACTGTCTCTCGCCCCCCCCCCGCCGCTCTTTCTCGCTCCAGGTCCTCCCCAGGTAGACCCCCTCCCCGCGCCAGGTCCTGCTCCTTCAGGTGTTTCTCAGGTAGACCCTCCGGTACCTGCGCCTGTTGAGGTCATTGGTGACTCAGGTCCTGCTGGAGGTGGTCCTGCTCGGGGTGCTGTCTCTGGGGGTGCTGAGCCTGGGGGTGCGGAGCCTGAGCGAGAGGCGCCTAGAGGTGCTGAGCCTGGGGGTGCGGAGTCTGGGGATGCCGTGCCTGCGCGTGAGGAGCCTGGCGGTGCTGAGCTTGGGGGTGTCGAGTCTGAGGGTGCTGTGCCTGCGCGTGAGGAGCCTGGAGGTGCTGAGCTTGCGGGTGCCGAGTCTGCGGGTACTGAGCCTACGCGTGAGGAGCCTGGGGGTGCTGGCGCTGGAGGTTCTGGAGCAGCTGGGGGTGCTGGCGCTGAGGGTTCTGAGTCTGCTGTTGCGCGGTCTCCTTGGAGT